CGTCGGGGTTGTAGTCATCATGATCTGCGTGAAAAACAAATTGTTAACTATAAGGACAACATACACAGTTGCCTGTTCTCTCATCTATCACACATACGAGGCCCTAAAACAGAAATACGTTCTCATACCGTAGACTATAATAAAGCACTTCGCTTTCACAAGTAAACATAGGTCTTCATACGAAGTATCTGACACATACTCTTACTTGAACTTGCGAGATCCCACGTTAACTACGTGAACCACATTAAAAACGTGAACCAGGACAGCGCCTGCCAGGACAGAGCCTAATACAAGTTCAGAAAACATTACCGTGCACACAGCATACGACTTCCGCGCACACAGTGTGACCCCCACGCATACAGAGTACACGACTTCCGACGCATCGCCATGTACAGCATACGCGCGCTCCGGGATGGCGCCTGCGTATACGCGCATACGCATCTGCTGAAACCAGGCCATGTTACAGCTGGACCTGGCAGTCCGTTACGACCAGCAAGGCACACACTCACGCACTTGTAATCACATCACACGTGCTACTGTAACACATAAAAGAAAACATTAAAAATACTCAGTCGGAACTTGATTTCAAGAAATGCAGCACTACTCTTGATACACCATTCGCCTTTCTAGGGCACCAAATACTGAGCTGCGGCTACACAACAACCTCTGGTATGGTCCGATCCTCATGTAAACTTAAATACTCTCTTCAATGTCAGAACTAATTGGCTCTACTTCACTTTCATCAGTTATACTTCGGTTTTCCGGCATTTTTCGCAACCAATTAAAAATGTAAACACTCATTCTTACAAAATAGTTTTTGAGCCAATGTTTAGAATAAATTCACTTTCCTCATGTATCTAATGGTGATCAGTAGCAGCGACAAATAATAAGTTCGCGGCGTCATAAGCCGACAGCATACTCAAAAGCGAGCGCTACAGCTCCACGCTTTCCACTAAACCATTCCAAGTTTGTCGACTACGTAATGCTCGGAGTAAACTGTAACACTTATCATCACATTAGATCACAAAAATACTACTTAGTGTTTTTAAGTCATAGCACGTTAAAGTAATCATGTTCTTTATTTCGATACATCGTTTAAACATTTCGAACTTTAAAACTAGGCCATGTAAATCACACCTCGTGTATCAAATTATAACATTACGTGAGCAAGTTAAACTTCCACTGAATGCAAACTATAACTCATTTAGAATACCTCCAACATTTCTTTCGACATTTGTTATCATATTTGGGTACGTTAAGAAATAATGAAATTACTTGCGGGTATTTTCTATTATAAATTGAATAAAAAGATTTATCTTTTGACTTAAAACATTTCACTTTAAACTTTTACTCTACACTTTAATGATTCGTCAATGTCGTAAATACGACAACAAACTTGATTTAAGAAATTGAACACAAAAACAAAACACGAGGCGCATTATAGTATTTCACCAACGTAATAACCCTTACACTATTCAAAGGTTATAGCAGGTGGGCAGTAACAGGGACTTTATCCCACTTCTGATGTAGGAAGTATAGTGGGTATAGTACAGAGACTAATTTTGTAGTTAGGAATAATAATTAATTCGTTTACACGAATTAATTATCCAATGAGTCGAGGATAAACTAGTAACGGAATACGACAAGTGTACCGTTCCACGTCAGAGCCAAGACTGCCTTAACGGCGGCCGCTCCGTCCGTTTTATACAAGCAGGACGGGCGGCAACGCACGTGCAATGCCGCAGGTGTGCGGTACACGTGTCGTTTACAAGAATTCTGTTTAGCTAGACCGACGCCACCGCACCCACAACGGTGCAGGTGCCGTCATATACGCTATTAAATGTATAGTTCCAGAAAATATACAAGTTCTCTCTATTACCAAGTATAAACATTTTATTAAACAAAAACGTTATAAAAAGGTTTATTATAATACTAGCTTTTTGCCCGCGGCTTCGCTCGCGTGCGCTTGAATTTAGGGACATCATTAAATGCTGTTCCGTGTCAAATTTAGAAATATTCGATCACTTTTAGAGTCACCTTGGTGACTATGTCTGTATGTCTGTCAGAGATTTTTTTTCATTCTAAAATACTATTAGACGTAGATGATTGGTAACATGCTACAGAAACACGTGAATATACTTATAATATGTCTAGAAACTCCTACTATTTTTATATATGGCGTGTCTTCCGATTCCGATGTATCCATAAGAAAGGTCTTGAAATCAAAATGTATTATGTAATATTACTTACATTTTACTCTTTACATATATATATTCATAGTTAAAATAAATTTACTTTTAACAAAGTAATATAATGTTTATTTGAGATATTTTATTCATATCATTGGTCCTCTTTAATATTGATTGGCACCATAAAAAGATATAGATATTTTTATTTACTTCGAGTAGACTTGAAAATTTCATAAATACAGTTCTATAATAATGAATACCACACATGGATTAAAACTAATGTTCCGGGTTTTTTACGCATCTTGACTCCTCACTGAATGAAAGCACCGAAGCTCCGGGAAGTCTAAAGTATGTGAACATGTTTAGTATCGTCCCAAACATTATATACAACAAATTCTTGCAATAGAACACCGAATCCTACCAATGATGATTCGCGTGGCTATTGAAATTAAAAATATCCTAATTTTAATAGGGAAGATGGCTGAGTGCTACTATCTGCTAAGGACTCCATGATTAATAAAATTAAATTCAAACTACTACTGCATTTTAACTATTCTATTTTAACTATGACATCAGGTCGTCAAACACCTCAGTTCTCCCACCCCTCCCGTGACCATGGGTGCTATAAATTGCCCAAACCATCGGGAATTTGAAAATTAAACGCGAATAAAATCCTTAAAATTACTTTTATTCCTTATAAATTTTATACACAGTGAACGTGAGGAACACTACACTCATGAACGGGAGTAGAAAAATGTTCGCACTGTTGTGTGAAAATCCAACACATCATATCGTCCCGTCGTAAGAGGCGACATAGGGAAAAAACAGTAGATGGGATGATCTGCATCATCTTCTTGACAACAGATCAAAATAATAATAGCTGCGGTTGCCAACCCGCCACTATAGCAAATATCCAGCTACTTGACAATTTATGGGAGAGGCCTATGTTCATTTCAGTGGACTTTTCATAGGCTGACGATAATGAGTTCTACTCATCTTTGCAAGCCTTAATATTTACGGTAGAGTGAAAACATAAATTATCATACCCGAAAGCACGAATGAAATAGAAACTGCATATATTGCCCCATGAAAAGTAAAAAAGCAGCTTACATACGAGTACATGCTACTACTGGGCACAGGCTGTAGAGTTTTTGGCCAAAAAAGAGTTTGCTGCACTGATTCCAACGCGGGATGAACGTAATGTAAATGATTCAATTATTTACATCCTATATTCAGTAGCATTGTATTATTTCATTTTATCATTGTCTTGCCATTTTAATTTATTTAGAAGTAAGTAGGTGGCGCTAATATTACATGAAATAATGAAAGCCAAAATTATACCATCTAGTAATATCAGCAATAGAAACGAACATTGATTTATGATATCAAATCAATAAGGGATAAAGTGATGTCAATTCTCTTAAAAGTTCTGTTTCTGTTAAAAATAAGCTATCAGCGCCGCTAGCGGTGAAAAACGATAATGATATCGTCATATGACCATATTATGAAATAGCAACGTTGTGTTTAGTTACTAATAACTTCAAAAGATTATTCATTGATTTGGTCAAGCTATATAATGACACGGTCATCAAATAGTGGTAGTGTTAGTAACACATTCATTTCAGTCCTTTTTTCAGTGTTTTCACGAAATGATAGACTACTTTATGATATATGATCAATTCTACGATCTGGGCACGACTTACATAAAAATCTCTTTAATAAAACTATGATGATAATGAAAATTCTGCAACAATTGCAGACAGACCAGTTTTTATCACTTTACATATATATTAGTACCTAATTGAAATAAATACCTTATGAATTTTCATATTTTTGATAGACATCACTATTATCTATGAAATTATTACACTTTTAAAATAAAATAACAAAATACTAAAAAACTGAACGTTACAATTTTTTTAATAATTTTAAAAATCTAATGATTTAATCATGTAAATGTAAGTTATTTATATTATTTCATTTATTAGTAACTGAAGGCAAAATATACAACTTTTTCCATTTGATGATAGATGGCGCTGTTTTGAATACGAAATCGGTGTAGTTTCAAATTATTTTACCAAGATTATAACTATATTTTAAACTTTATTTACAAATATGGTAATATGGTATTTATTTGAAAAACACCCGTCATTCCGCCTATAACTAAGATACAACAGAAAATTAACACCTAAAGGAAATTAATAAACTTAACCTTCCTTTTTTGAAGTTCCGTAATCGGACAAAAAGTAGCCTATAAGTTGCCCCGGGTTACTGACTACCTACATACAAAATTTCATGTAAATCGGTTCAGTAGTTTTTGCGTGAATCCGGAATACACAGACAGACAGACAGACAGTCAGACAGAAAGACAGACAGACAGACAAAAATTCTAAAAACCACTAATTTGGCTTCAGAACCCTTTATTTAGTCCCCTGGACTTGTTTTTTCAAGAATATATTAGAATTACAGACACGACTTTTCTACAGATTTATTATATGTATAGATAAATGAATACATGGTTGATAATTACCCCCGGGAATAAGGTGATCCCTTCAAAGCTGATTCTAAAATAAATTTGTAAATGGTTGTACATTCATGTAAAATTCACATTCAATACAAAAAATCCCGCTGGGTTTCTTGCTGTTCCCGGGACAGAGGTTTTTTTTCTAACCAGTGGTAAAGTAAAAAATGGCTATCAATGAGAATTATACATGTGATCTATATTGATTAAAAAATTGTTCAATTATTTTCTATCACTTGGTAACCTGTAATGTTAAATAAAGATAAGTTAATTTTATTTTAATTTTCCAGAATCTTAAGAAAATAATGGATAGTGCGAAAAATGGCGTAATATATTTTAGCTTGGGTTCAAATTTAAAAAGCAAGGAACTGCCCATTGAAATTAAAAGAAGTTTACTGAAAGTTTTTGGTGAGCTAAAGCAAACGGTTATCTGGAAATTCGAAGAAAATCTACCTGATAGACCGAAAAATGTGCATATATTGCAATGGGCACCTCAGCAAAGTATTTTAGGTAAGAACATAAAATCCATCTAGTTTTTACATTTACTGTTCGACATTCGTTCGTGAGTTGACAGTTCAGCAGTTCAGTTCAACAGAGTTATTCATAAAATTTGTAGGTTGGTATGTTAGATAAGTTGTATTTCACCTATTTTTATCTGCACATTAGCTTATGAACCATAGTGTTCGTGCCCAAACGCTGGTTTCAAGATTTGACGCCGGAGGGCGCTCGGCTCGATGCGGCGCGTCCATAACCGCTTAGACGAGTGGGCGGTTGGCGGGAGTTAGTTGCTACCGGCGGCCGGGTTGAGTCCAACAGTAGCTCGCTGGCAGCGGTACGGTTAATCCGCGTACCTCGGTTATCGCTGCAGAAGTTTCGCGCGACCTGTGTACGATCTAGATTGCTAGATTTAGTGCGGTTACTTCGCTACGTAATTGGGGTTTTATGAAAACCGCCCCGGTTTAGGGCGTCTCCCGGGTGATTGTTCAGGAAATCATTGTTTAATTATACCGTCGCGTTAAGAGCCTTTTGTGTGTTGACTCTCTACTTAATTTGCGTGGTGCGCTTACTCAAGTATAAACATCAAGTTTTCATATAAACAAGTTTTCACCTAGTTGTCGAAATTCGACCGTAATTCATTACATTTTTAAGGAAGTATATAAATAAAACACAGCTATTTAATAAACAAAAATAAAATAGTTTGGAAAATCCAAAAGTGCGTGCCTAACGAGCGTTTCATTTTATTTTGATGAGGAAAATAAATTACCAAAAAACATGCGTGACTGTATTGGAAGACTCGGTAAGAACGAAGTTCCTTTCATAGTATTTTTTTTAATAAAGGAGAGGGGCAAACGAGCATGCGGCTCACCTGATGGTAAGTGACTACCGCCGCCCATGAACAACCGCAACACCAGGGGAACCAGTGGTATTGCAGATGCGTTGCCGGCCTTTTCAAAAGGAGTAGGCTCTTTTCTTGAAGGACCCTAAGTCGTATCGGTCCGGAAAAATCGCTGGTGGTAAACTATTCCACAATGAAGTTGTGCGAGGAAGAAAACTTCTTCTAAATCGCACAGTGGTGGACCACCAACAATCCAGATAGTGTGGATGGTATCGGGAGTTCGGCCGCGATGTGCGTTCGTGAAATTTGGTGCTGGGATTAATCCGAACAATTCCTCAGAGCACTTCCCGTGGTAAATGCGAAAGAAAATGCAAAGAGATGCAACATCTGTTCGCAGCGCCAATGAGTCGAGCCGATCGGAAAGGACTTGGTCGCCGACGACTCGAGTCGCTCTGCAGTGGATGCGGTCAAGTGGAAGAAGCTGGCACTGGGGAGCCCCAGCCCAGAGATGGGAACAGTAATCCATGTGAGGTCGAACCTGCGCCTTGTAAAGTTGCAAGCGTTGTGCCGGCATGAAATACTGTCCCGCTCTGCTGGGCATGCCAAGCTTTTTAGAGGCCAATTCGGCCTTCCCTTCCAAGTGCCAGACCCGATCGAAGGCCTTGCAATGTCCAAACTAACGGCCAATGCCTTCCCCTTGGACTTGAACTTGGAGAGACCAGAATGCACGGTTCCCCGAAGGAAGGCGAACTAGTTTCTCGCCAATTCTGCCTATGTGCTCTGACTTTGCCTTGGCAATAACTCTTATGAAGGACCTGGAGACGAAGTTATACTTCTTTTTAAGAATGCTGGTTTTTACATCCCGAGCCGCCGAAGCCTCAGCCCAGGCCTGATAGCACTCTGCTTACTGCGTAATGCATTCTTACAGTAGCGACCAAACCAAGGCCGAGATCTGCCTCCGATGGGTATCACAGATTATGGAATAAATAGTTCCATTCCCTGTAGCACCACATCAGTGACAGAGGCAGCAACAGCGCTGGGATCATCCGGCGAGAAGCAAACCCGCCCCCATGGGTAGGGTGCGAAGAAAGACCGCATTCCATCCCAATCCGCCGACCTGTAATGCCAAACACGGCGGCAACCTGCAGAACGCAACCGCGAAGGGAGCGTGAGTGGCACCACACTCCGGATCAGGCAATGATCCGAAGAGCCGAGAGGGGCATCGAAGGCAACATGATATCCGTCCGGATGAGAGGTCAGCAGAAGGTCCAACAGGGAAGGTGCATGATCCTTCATACCTGGAATCCGCGTAGGCGAAGTAACCAATTGTGTCAGACTATATGCCAAGGCAAAGTCATAAACAGATCTACCAGCATGATCGGTTAAATGTGAACCGAGCCATTCGGCGTGGTGGGCGTTAAAATAGACAAAAATCACGATCTCTGCGGATGGGACCTGTTGTAGCAAGGAATCTGTAACCATTTGGACGTGGTCGATGAGTCGGTATGTTTCGGCATTACCGCTATGGGACCCTTAGAGGCACCCGTAGACGCGAGGATGGTCTTCGCTATCTACGCGTAGCCAATGGATGGACAGGTGCGAACCTTCAAGACTGCCGAGGCGTCGAGAACAGATGTCCTCTCTGACGTGTACGCAAACTCCAGCTCGAGGCATAGTCTTTTTTTTTTTGCTGTGGCAACCCTAGTGATAAGTTGTAAAAGTATTTGGTCCTGATAAATTTTAATAATTTAAATATTGTTAATTCATAATATTCACCTCAATTTTATGTTATAGTTAATAATTACTGCCGCTTTGTATTTAATATTTAAGAAAGTGGGTACATAAATATTATAACAACATTTTGGTGTTGGTAACGAACATTGTTTTAAAAATTATTGTAATTCTTATTTCATATCATTCCTTTTAACAATTAAAGCTTTATTCTATTACTCGGATTTTTTTACATTCTTTGCGGGTTTTTTTTCGAATTATTTTAACGATAATTTGATTTGAGACTTGTAAATAGAAAAAAAAACTACAACAACTCGACATTGGCTTACTCTGCTCCATCTGTTTTCGATCTTTGGTTTTTTTAATTATTTATAATAAATAGTAAAATGAATACTCGCAACGCCAAGATGCGCCAAATGAAGAACCAACTGCAGCTTGCACTCCAAGAACTTAAGGCGTCCAGGGAGCAGTGTGAACTGTTGCTTAAGGTAAGGGCTGATAATGAAAAAGAAATAGCATAATTGCCAAAAACACACAATTGAAATGTGATATGGTTAAGTTATATACAGAATACACAAGTGTTTTAAAAGAAAGAGATCAACTACAGGGAACGGTTAATGAGTTTGACCGATGCAGCAAGGAATATGAGGAAGCTCTCAGGTTCATTGCTGCATTGAAGTTACAGTTGAATGAGGCCAATGAGCAAATAACACAATTTAAAACATATATATAAACTTAACTCCTCGCAGACTCAAAGCCTGTTCTTTGAGCTTGTGCAATGTAATACTTCAAGAATTTTACAGCAATCTGCAACAATATATTTGACTGGTGACGACTCTTCTACTTCAGGAAACACAGTAAGGATTAATTGCAATAAAACCAAATTGAAGAAGTATATAAAATTTAATAAATACATAAGGAAAGTACAAAAATTAATAAAAAATAAGATTAATACCAAAAATTATGTTAATTTATGTATAGAAAAGCAAGAATTGATATATGAACTTAAGTTATATTCAATTGAGGTGGATAACATAAGAAAATGTTATGAGACTAATGTAGAGTGCCTTAAATCAGAAATATTGTCTCTTACAAATTCCCTTCAAACTGTATCCAATAAAAAAATCACCCCAAAACGAAATAAAAGAACCCATACTGGCTATGGATAATCTGGTAAAGACATGTAAATATAATGAGGAGCGTTTTGACTCCTTAGTTAAACATCAATGTGAGTGTCAGCATTCAATACCAGCTTCTTCAGGGTTGGTGTGTGCTGATATTATTATACCACCACCAAAATTCTATGACAATGCCATAGCAGAGGAGCTTAAAATAAAAAATAACTCAAATATTAACAAAAATTATATAATTGTGTATAGCGATGACATAGGAAAAAATCTAGGCATAACTTTAAATTCCTCTTTAAAGGGACAAAAAATTGCAAATTGCTGCATGCCTGGAGCATCTTTTAGTGACATCCTAAATAAAATTATAGTTACTAAATTTTGCCCAAATAGTACAATAATATTTTTTGTTGGTAGAAGAGGCAGTGTAAACAACAAACAGTTATTAAGATATATTGAGCAACTTAATAACTTAAATGTACACAAAATTGTCTTGTTCACACTGCCTTACATAAAGGGATTGCCACAGGAAAATAATCTAAGACATAATTTAAATATACAAATGAATAATTTATTATTATTATTTATTATCATTATTTATAATAATGTAACAATAATTAAAAATTGTCATATAATTGTAATGATAATAATGACAAATTTCATTTAGTTGATATAAATAATTTAATAAAAAAGTTTTGGACAAAAGATAGGTATTACCTATCCAAATATAATTTAAGACTGATAGCAAATGTACTATCTTATTATTTACTTTTTAACTCAACCAAGTTTTCGGCTACCAAGACTGCTTTTATTGAGCATTATAATCATTTGACATTTAATTTGGAATCAGTTCCAACTAATTTAAATTAGTAAATGCGACAGTAGAGGCAATCTCTAGCAATAATAATAGTTTAATTAACTTTGAATGCAGCCCACAAAAAAAATAAAAACTGTTTACACCTGGTGCATCAAAATATACAAGGCATTATGGGCAAAGAATTGAATTATTTTAAATAGTAACAACATACATATGCTTATACTACGTTTTACTGAAAATGATTATAATTTCATGTTTAATTTCAGAAATCACCAGGTGGTCAGTTCCTTCAATAGAGAAAAAAGTTTACGTTGTATTGTACGTTATTTAAAATTATAACTTGTGAATTAAGTAGGATATTTACTTCGAAAACTTTCTCTTTTAACAGTCGCAAATAATTTAATGAATGGGCGACAGTAGGAATTTATAAATGTAGGCGAAAGTTCTATGAGCTTTATAAGATCATATAATAGTAGTGTTATATTTAGAGATTATGTAAAAACATATTCTAAAATGTTTAAATAAAGTGTGCTCCACAGCTAAGGCTTTAGATTTAAGTAACAAAATTAAAACTGCATCTAACAAAATTAAAATGACCTGGAAAATAATAAATAGTGAAACGGGCAAAGTCAAACCGCGCAACTCGGGTTTTCAATTGAATATTAACAATAATTTAACTCGATCTGATCAAGAAGTTGCTATGGCTCTTGAGAAACATTTTACTGATGCTCTTTTTTGACAAATAAATCATTAAATTTTTCTCCTACTGTCGCCGAATCATTGCTTAAACAAAATGTAAAGGCTTGTTTTAATACTTTTGAATTCCATAGAGTACTGCCAAAAGATATCGTCAAATATTTTAAAACTATTGATGTTAAGAAAACGGCAGAATTATGGGCGATTTCCGTTATTTTATCTATAACAAATATAATAACACCTCATCTAGCCACTATATTTAATATAAGCGTCAAATCTGGTGTGTTTCCTAATTTAATAAAACATAGTAAAGTCATACCTGTATTTAAATATGGTACGACATTAGACCCCGCCAATTTTAGACCAATTTCTGTACTACCAACATTTAGTAAAATTTTTGAAAAAATTATTTTAGATCAGATGTTAAGTTTCTTTAATATTAATAAATTGCTACATAAAAATCAATTCGGTTTTACAAGGGGTCGCTCGGCAACTGACGCTGGAGTTGAGCATATTTTTTGTGCATAGGAGAATTCAAAGGATGCTTTGGGTATATTTTGTAACCTTTCCAAGGCCTTGGACTGTGTTCACCATGAGACATTAATCAGGAAGCTACAGTACTATGGTGTCAAGAACACAGCGCTTAAACTTATTATTTCATATTTAAGTAATAGAAAGCAGAAGGTTATTATCAATGGTAAAAGTTCTTCCGGGTCACCTGTACTAATGGGTGTTCCTCAGGGCTCGATTCTCGGCCTATTCCTGTTTCTGGTGTATATTAATGACTTACCTCACCTTGTAGGGGATAGTCATGATATAGTATTATTTGCTAATGATACTTCCTTGATTTTTATACTTAAACGTCAATCACTTAAATGTGACGAAGTGAATAATGCTATATCAAAATTAGTGCATTGGTTTAACGTTAACAATCTGCATTTGAACGGAAATAAAACTAATTGTGTTAAATTTACAACAACGAATGTTAAAAATCTGAATACCAATGTGTTTTTAAATGGGAAAGAACTGAGCCCTGTTGAATCCAATGTTTTTCTTGGTATCAGTCTCAACGCAAAGCTTCAGTGGGGCCCCCATATGTCCAACCTAGCAATCAGACTAAGTTCTGCAGCCTATGCTGTAAAAAATATTAGAGGTCTCACTAGTGCCGAGACAGCTAGATTAGTTTATTTCAGTTATTTTCATAGCATAATGTCTTATAGGATTTTGATATGGGGAAATGCGGCTGATTCAGAAACTATTTTTGTTTCACAAAAGAGGGTCATTAGAGCTTTGTACAACCTAAAACGGAGAGTCTCTTCGAGATAAATTTAAAGAAATAAATTTATTAAATTTGGCCGCTCAGTATGTTTACGAAAATTTAATGTTTGTCCACAAAAACAAAGGCAGTTTTAGTAAAAAAAGTGATATACATTCTGTAAGCACTAGGAACAAACACAAGCTAGTGATACCATTTTCTCGACTCCACAGATTCAGTAATTCATTCTTGGGGCAATGTATACGCTATTACAACAGTGTCCCGGGAACCGTCCAGGCTCTCTCTATTACCAAGTATAAATGTTTTTTTTAAGTTGAAACTATATAAAAAGTGTTATTATAGTATAAATTAATATATGGTTGATAATAACCCCTGGGAATGAGGTGGTCGCTTCCAAGCTGTTTCTAAAATAAATTTTGTACCAACCATTAATATAAAATATGCTTTTAAAAAAAAGTTCCGCTGGGTTTCTTGCTGGTTCTTCCCAGGAAAGATGTTTTTATTGAACCAGTGGTAAAGTAAAAAATTACTTTCAATAAGAATTACACATGTGATCTGTATTGAACAAAAAATTATTCTATTCTATTCCAATCAAAATATCTTATATTACTATCGATATGTAGACGACATAATTATTTACTAGGCTGGCACTAGGAGACAACTGGATGTTTTCCTCAATTAAATAATTAGAGTCCACGGCAAAATTAAATTTAAACTTGAATTGGAACAAGATTTTTCCCTTAATTTCCTCGACTTAACAATAATAAGAAAAGGATCGTCACATGTTTTCCAAATTTATCGAAAGCCAACTGATACTGACACGGTCATCCCCGCGTCATTGTGTCTCCCGTGGCAACATAAATTAGCCGCTTTTTATTGTTACATTAATCGTTTGTTTACTGTCCCATTAAGTAAAGAAAATTATTTAAAAGAGCTTAATGTAATTTTTCAGATAGCAGCCTCTAACGGTTTTTTCGAAAAATCTCATTAACAATTTAATTAAAAAGAAACAAAAGCATGTTGTTCGCAACTCTCTGTACGCGGTTCCACTTCAAAGTGTTCGTCGATATGTGAGCAGTTTGAGCTACTTAGGCCCCATATCTGAAAAAGTAGCTAATACTCTTCGAAGAAACGGCGTTTATGTGGCGTTCAAAACAAACAATTCTCTTAGAAATATCTGTAATGGTAAAGATAAGTTGGATTTTCGTCAAAAGTCGGGGTGTTTACAAACTGTGACGAATGCCACGCCGTTTTTTTTGTAGGATATAGTGACAAACGAGCACACAGTACACATGATGGTAAGTGGTTGCTGTGACCAATAAACATCTACATTTATCCTCAATAAAGAATCAAAATGCACATGCGTCGTCACCCGTGATGACTAAGGTGGAATGCCTGTTTTCCAATAAAATGGGTCTACGTTTCTCTACACTCATCATACGAAACACAGCAGTGTCGAGCTACCATTTTGCACTGGTATTCTGTGAGAACGTGGTCCTTCCCCGGTCGAGCCGACCCACTCGTGCTACAACTATACTATTAATATAGCTGCAACATGGCTCTACCACGTACATAAATATATAGTATATAATTTATGAAATAATTATATTAATTACAATATATTTTACATTAAGTAAATGATAGTTGCTTAAATCATAGGAACTATAGGAATATACAACTTTCTTGATACTGCAATGGGCTTTTAGATTTGAGAAGCGCTCTTTTAGATCTAAACTCTTTTACCGCCGAAACCAACATCACAGAGTATTTTTACTCATGTGCCACCAACAACCCCGAACGCCGTGTGTACAATTGTTGTATTTTGATCACCTTTTCTGATGTATGTTTTTAATGGGATTTTATTTTGCTAAACCTCATATTTCAGCTCATCCAAATTGTGTTTTATTCATTACCCACGGAGGATTCCTCTCTTCGACTGAGACGATTCACTTTGGCGTACCTATAATTGGAATACCAGTGTACGGTGATCAGTTTAGTAATATTAACAGGGCTGTGAAAAAAGGTTACGCGAAAAAAGTGGATCTTACGTATTCTGTAGCCGATGACTTAAAAGTGGCAATCAATGACATTCTCAGTGATCCCAAGTATGTTTTTTTTAAATAATTATTAAAATCTATTATTATTATTATGTTTACTTAGTATTATCAGGGAGTCTTTACCTCTCCGAGGCTTTATAATATCGATATAAAAAAGATAACTGAAGAGCTTAGCAGCACACATGTTGGTTGTTCTATAGATGGAGTAAGTCTAAATAACATGAGCTACGCAGACAACATGGTGCTGCTGAGCCCGTTAATCTGTAGAATACGAAAGTTACTTTCCATTTGTGAGGATTATGCTGAGCAGAATGAGTTAAAATATGATGCTAAGAAAAGTGAACTGTTGGTTTTCAGATGTAGAAATAAAATTCCAACATATGTCCCCCAGTAAAGTCTAACGGTTCACGTTTACTGAGAGTAACTCATTTTAAAAACACCCAGGAAATATGTCTTTAAAATCGTTTTATGATTTATAATTAAAATAATAAATAATATTTTCTTTATTTTCTAGATATAAGAAAAGAGTAAAAGAACTGTCGTTTATATACCACGATAGACCAGTGTCCCCGGGAGATGAGCTAGTGCACTGGGTGGAGCATGTCATACGCACGGGTGGCGCTTTACACCTCCGTTCCCCAGCCCTGGATGTCACCTGGTACAAGAAGATGTACCTAGATTTAGTTGCTGTTATATTTATTGTTTTTGCAATATTTATATTATTTTACAAGTTGCTTATAAAAAAATGTTTGTCGAGTAAATGTGACATCGAAAAGAAAAGAAAATAGTAAATGTATTGTCTATAAGTGATAGGCCACACGGTGCATTGCGAAGTAATGCGTAAAAAATCAACACTGACGAAACACGATCTTGTATTTAAATGTTCTAAGCGGCGGCCGCTTAAGAATATCCCGAATGAATGCTCTGTTTTGTCGCACGCTCTATGGAACACTCATCTCGGCGTTAGAATTAGAATATCACCCCATGCAGTACGACACTACTCGAAATCTCACCGAATATTAATGCATTACAACGTTAAACTTAGTCTTTTCATTATTGTGAAGAACTAAATTTGTGCAAAATTAATTCCTTAAGGAATTCACCTCGAAAGAAACCCGAATGTACCTTGTATTCTACCACCGATGCAGTGCTGTAGCAAAGCATCACAGCATCGGTTCTGTGTCACGCAGTACAGCGAAATATTGCTAAACTCTGTAACATCGCACTGCTGACGCATTGCACCGTGTGGCTTCCTTTAGTTCTAGGCGGTAAAACAAATAAAATAAATATATTGTAACCCTTTATTCAATTTAATATCGTTCATACAATATGAATACATTATTTGGACAATTCAGATATTGCTCTGCCATGTGATGTAGCGAATGAATCCTTCGTCGTCTCGTGAGCTTCGTTAGACAGGGACACGACCTGCCGCACACCCAGTGCTTGTGCACTTATATATTAGATATTTCCTGATTTATATATTAACAAAACATAGATTCTTATGAAACTAAACTTTATTCAAAATGACCTCCGTGATTTTGAATACAGGCCTTCAATCTGCGCGGCCAGTCGTCTATCGCAGCACGAACGAGGTTCATGTCAATATCGGCGGCTGCCTTAATCAAGTATGTCTTGAGTGACTCCAAATTGGGATGAGCTTTGAGCACGCCTTTTCCTCGAAGTGTTGCCATATTTTGTAATCTAACGGATTCAAATCTGGACTGGAGGAGGGCCAGTCTTCGTGCCAGATGAAGTCGATTTCACGCGCCGCCAGCCAGTCTTGTGTGCTCTTCGCTCTATGAGCTGACGCCGAATCTTGTTGGAATACCCAGTGCCTGTTATTGAACATGGTATAAGAAACAGGTTCCACAAGGTTCGTCAGGACGGTATTTTGATACACAACTGCATTCATTTTTACACCTTTCTCACAAAAATGTACCTCTGTTAAGCCCCAATACGAAACTCCCAACCATACCATGAGCGAGGATGGAAAATGACCTCGTTGGACACGCGAAATACGGTTGCTCGCTTCTTCACTACTGTGTGCGTACACCTTATCATTTTGTTTGTTGTAACTCTCTTCTACGGTAAAAATTTTACACCGAAAAAAGAATTTCCCGTTATTTTTTTCCCGCGTACCGCTTCAACAAAGCGCGGCATTTCTTCAGTCTCAGGTCCATTAGACGAGCATTCAAACGATGTCCTGTTTTTCTTCAAGATGCCCGAAGCCCTAAGTCTTCATTTAACACCCTTTTCACCGTGGTTCTGCTTAACCCCATCTGAAGGGCCAACAATTTCTGCTTACGTTTGGGATTTCTTTGAATTCGCGCCTTCACAGCTTTTATCACTGCTGGAGTCCTAACAGACCGAGGGCGACCACTTCTTGGCCTGTCATCTACACTAGATTCTTTATTGTATCATTTGATGGTACGATAAACGAATCTTCTGGTTATATTCAAACTTTTCAGTATGTCAAAAATTTGAATTGGCGCGTAACCGCAACGATGCAACGCAATAACTGCAACACGGTCTTCTTTAGGCGTCCACTCCATATTTAAAAATGAGTAAAATTCTAAAAAGTATACAGTTTTTCTAAAAAGTATACAGAACTTCTTTGAAATTTAATTTTTTGTTTATTTTTGTTATATCTGCTTAAAAACTGACGCCATCTCACTATTTTATTATTTGTTTTTTTTTTTTTGTAACGCATAAAGATAAGTTAGACTTAGTTAGATTAACTTGGATAAGTTTGTAATTTTTTTTAATTTTATCACAAAATTTCCGCAATAAATTATTACCTTTTGTACAGTGATTCTCTCCTCTTAGTTTCGGCGTGACTGTAGGATGTTATACTGAGTCACCATCAGTTACTAAGCGGCCATTAATCATTATATGTATGTATAGACATACACATATACATTTTTTGATTTTAATATTTATCTTTTTTTGAAACCTGGTAAAATATTTTTTTTCCATACCAATTGATGGCCCTGAGTATAATGCCAGTTATGCTCTTTGACTAAAGTTATTTTTTATTTCATGCTCAATTTCAGACAAAACGATATTGATTCCGCATTTCTAAAACAAAATTTTACCTCTTCTCCTTCTAATAATAGCTCCTGTACCTAACACGGCGGAATAGTTATTATTATCTATAAGACCATTTGCAGAAACAGTTTTTGTTAACAGATATGAGTGTAACATTTTATCAGCTGCTTTGTTTATAGTGCCTTGAGCAACACTTTGCCGGTTTCTGTACAGAAAATGATGCTGGCTTTGCAAATATGGATGGCCGCTACCATTGATACATATACTACCCGCTATGTTACACTTATTAAAATAGAAACTTTAATTATCATTTGCTTAAAATTCTAAATAGCACTTATTACACAAGAAGGTAAACTTTTAGATCAGTCCATCTTGTTTTTCACTAATTAAGTGAAAAGTAAACAAACCAATAGGTCCGTGAATTAAAATTTCTTGCTTTTTATAGAAAAGCATGACCTTATCATAATATAATCGTCAATCATTTAGCCATGTGATAAAACTTTTAAATGTGCCAGTCAAACATTATTGATGATATTTGGGTCATTATACTGGAAATAGTCTTTTAAATATTTTGTAGTACACTTGATAATCTTCAGTATGATTGACCGTGTATATGACTTTTATAAGTCTATTTTATTTTTGATGAATTTTATTGCAGATAAAAGCCCTTTCACATTTATTTTAGTCTCGAATTAAATTAATCAAAATGAAAATAGGAACTTCGGCTCTTTATAACTGATCTTTAAATGTAAACACTGACTTGAAATTATATAATTATCGATATTTTTTAATTCATTGAACTTTTTTAAGATTGTGTTGAAATTCTACTGGTAAAAAAAAATATATTATAGTTCTTGATGAAAATAAAGTATGCGCATTACATCGCATCCCATCAAGAATTTCTAATGTAATTCTTGGTGTAAAGCTAAGACGTTATAATAACGGTAAACAATAGAATCACAAAATAATGAAAACATTTGTAAATAAACATTTGCTTTATAACCTAATAAATATTATTTGACCATAATAAAATAAAACAAGGTAGTCTTTGGCATGAAAGTAAAAATAAATATTTTCGATTATTTTTGCAATATCTAACAGCCGGATCAGCGCGCGATTCTGATCCATCTAAAGATGCTAAATTTCAGAAAGCACTGTCAAGTTCAATAGGAGTGGAATGGATTCGTGCTACAACTATACCTACTACTTATATAGCTGCAGCATAACTCTACCACGTAAGAAAAAATTGACGTTGAAAATTTAAGTATTTTCAGAAGCAACTTTGCAAATATTTTCAATAGGGCAATGGAACCCAAGGGGCCAGCAGCTGGCCGACTTCATGGAGAAAGAGGGACTCTTTATGATGAACTCTTTTTTCCAGAAGCGGCCCCACAGGAAGTGGACCTGGTCGAGCCCCGACGGTTCGACAAAAAATGAGATTGACTTCATTATGACGACCAGACGACAACTGTTCAGTGATGTCTCAGTGATCGCGAGGGTGAAAACCGGCAGCGATCACCGAATGGTTAGAGGCACACTGAACCTAAACGTTAAGTTGGAGAGGTCTCGTCTAATGAAGTCAACGCTCCGTCCCCCTCGTGCTCTAATCCAAAGTCCCGAAACCTTTCAGCTCGAGTAACAAAACCGTTTTCAGTGCCTAGAAGACTGCAATGAAGTGGACGATTTGAATGACAAGCTCGTGGAAACTGTCCATGCGGTCGGAGCTAAGTTCTGCAAGACCCGACGCAGAAGAACACAAAAACTCTCCGATCACACTCTTAACCTCATGGCTGTTAGACGGAAGATGAAGCTACATTCTTCAACAGATTTGACAGCATACAGGCAACTGAACAGACAGATCACCAAGTGCATGCGGCAGGACTTACGCAACTTCAATACAGCTCGTATTGAAGAAGCGATCGAGCGGAACCAAGGCTCCAAAGTCTTTGCCAGAGATCTGTCTGCCAGAAAGAGCCAACTGTCAAAGCTGAAGACCGAATGTGGCAGCATCGTTTCCGGGGCACCTGAGATTTTGAGTGAGATTGAGAGGTTCTATGGGCAGCTGTACACGTCATCGTTGGAGCCGCACGCAAGTGTGAGTAACGATCCAAGAGCTAGTCTTATCCGATATTATTCCGATGATATCCCGGACGTCAGTCTGAGCGAGATTAGAATGGCTCTCCAGCACCTTAAAAACGGCAAATCCCCGGGCGAGGATGGAATTACAGCGGAGCTTCTGAAAGCGGGTGGAAAACCGGTACTTGAAGTCCTTCAGAAGCTCTTTAATTCCGTCCTCCATGGTGGCATTACATCGGAGGCGTGGAGCAGAAGTGCAGTGGTCTTGTTCTTCAAGAAAGGCGACAACGCTCTCTTGAAGAACTACAGACCGATTTCCCTTCTGAGCCGCATCTACGTGCTGTTTTCGAGAGTCATTACGAATCGTCTCGTGCGCAGACTTGACGACTTCCAGCCTCCCGAACAAGCCGGTATCCGAAAAGGCTTTAGCACCATAGACGACATACATACCCTTCGGCAAATTGTACAGAAGTCCGAGGAGTACAATTTGCCACTATGTCTGGCGTATGTGGACTATGAGAAAGCCTTTGATTCCGTCGAAATTTGGGCGGTGCTGCAGTCCCTTCAGCGATGCCAAGTTGACTGTCGGTATATCGAAGTGTTGAAGTGATTGTACAGTAGAGCTACGATGGCTATCCGAGTACAGAACCAGAGTACAAAA